GCTTGTGTGTCATACTCATTGGCACCTGCAAAACAGAATAATATAATAAGAATAACACCATGATGATATCAGATATCATATTTCATTTGGAGCCTTAAATATTAAACAAGGCATAAACATGAAAAATGTCACCACCCGCCATTTGTTACAGACGCTTAACGCCGACCCCAGACGCTAAACACCGTACACAAAAAAGTTGGAGACTTTAACAATATGTGACCACTTTTGGTAGTGACATAAAAAGGGGAAGTCCCGTCTAAATAAAACTCCTGGTTTCAAGTTTTTTGTAAACATACACCATTGCATGTTGATGGTTGTCATGACCTGCAGGTCACGATGACAAATGAATGTTACGTTGTCAATAGAATATAGCGTTTGACCATCTCTGATCATAAAAATGAGTTGATAGAAATTCAAGTAACATGTATCAAGTTCATTTATCACAGACTACAACTATTGATTCCAAATCTGGTTCACTGAACGGCTCAATAATTAGTAGTAAAGCGTATTTTATAGAGTCAGTAGTCTGGTGGCAGTTTAGAAATCCCGCGTTCGAACACTTGTAATACTCCTAGATCTTAATATAACAATACGTTTTTTTGCAATACGTTGTTTTTATTCACCTGTAGACGCACCTGGTGATCGGAAAATATGAACGGATCGGAGGGGGTGGGGTTGGTGAAGATTTGTTGAATTTTCTATCAAAAATTGGCTGACCTTCCTCCTCCGTTCATTTTGTCCGATCGCTGGGCGTGATAGATAATGTATTCAACGTTTTTATGTTTTCTTATTGAACGAAATGTGTATTTTGGACTAATAATGTAATTCATAATAAATACAAGTATTTCAAGAATTGCCATACTGCACGTAAAACGAGTAGCCGTAGCTTCTTCACTGATGTACGATATACTACATGTACTTAAAAAAAGTTTTGTTGCGACTAATAAAACAGATCATCTTTAATGTAAAAATAACAGGTGCACTTCATATAATCAATTCTAGATACTGTATTTAGTAATATTATGAATCCCAAACACAACGCATTAATTAAATGCATGTTTAAGTGTCAATTAGCCTATTAGAATAAATATATTAAAACTATGAACAGATAATTCATCGATATGTATTTATTCAACTCTAATGGGCTTTTCTCTTTTAACTGCTACATGGCTCTCGATTTACAGATTTACAGATTTCGAGCCATCAAAGTCAGATTAGGCGGAGCCCTTATCCTCAATTAAAAAATAATATCTGTAAGGAAGTCGGACATGTTTGATACAATTTCTCATCTCTTTTCTGCTTTTAAAATAACCGACTTGAATCACAATTTGTGTACGATCATTGCATCAGATCTGAAAATATCAATATTGTACTCACTGGTTTTGTGATCGAAAGGTAGTTTTTTCGTATAACAAATATATGAGTTATAGATTAATTATAATTTGTGTGTTTTTTATGAAAAATAACATGCTCCCGCAGGTGACAAATATTTCGACCACAGCCGTGATACTGTTTTATTTAACTCGTATTTGAAAACAGATTGCGGAGAGACTGAATTGTTCATTTTCTTTTAAAAAATATACGACTGAAAACTTACTTCGTCAAATTTTGGCCCTTGCTATCCCCCCAGCCCCCGGATACATTCCAATATAAAAATAGATTAACACCATCAAATCTTTTTATTCCAAAACACATTTCGACGATGAATATTAATATTATACGTTTTTAATCATAACCTAATAATGTCCGATAACACATGCAGATGAAAATAACAAAAATGACATAGACCTATTTAAGTATTTAGTTTAATCATCAGTTTGTTTATTATTATATTTTACGTGTTATTACGTTGTTTCAATGCCGATCGGAGATCTGTTCACGATATGTTTAGTACAGTACAGTGTGTGCCGATCGATCCCTCCGACTGGGAATTCAAATTAAAAGCCGATAGACGCGTCGATGGGCACTCAGCGAGCCGAAAGGCATGCCGATCGGCGAGCCTACCGACGACATCTCGGCGTGCCGATCGCTCGCGCCTAGGCGCGTGCCGGTGTGATTTCAGGCATGATCAGTACTGTAATTGCTTACAATATTATGAGCACAATTTTAAGCCAGATTTGAACTTCTGGGAACTTGTAAATGTTTTGAGGGTGAGATTTGAATTTCTGAGAACATGTAGATGATTTTGAAAAAATTGGTCAATCTGAGGCAAGTTGAAAAATACCTTTTTGACTTTTTTCGAGAAGGTCATTGAAGGTCAAGTCTTAAATCTAAAAGTGAGATTTGAATTTCTGAGAACTTGTAGATGATTTTGATCAAAAATAGGTCAATTTAAAGCAAGGTGAAAAATACATTTTTTACCTTGAGAAGGTCAAATCTCAAATCTTCGAACTACTAAGATCTTGTTGAGGATTTTGAAAAAATTGGTCAATTTGAAAAATACCTTTTTGACTGATAACGTCATTGAAGATCAAATCTCAAATCTAAAGCACGCTTTTAATGAGGGTGGGAGTCGAATTCAAAGGCTACCAAACAAGACACGTGTGAATTGAATATTAAGTTCAATACATTATTAAGCTTGTCTCTATTTGAATATAATTTGTATATCAATTAAAATATTGAAGTTAATTTTCATGCAGTATGTGAGAAAATAACCTCAGAGTGGCAACTCAAATGAGATTGACTGAAGGGGGAACAAGGAGTATGAATTCTCATCTTGATAAACCAGATCATGATTATAAATCAGTTTTTCTCGGCCCTGAGATACCATATTTTGTGATCCAACAGAGCCACAAATTGAGGATTTTTGAGATCTTTCATTTCAGCTCACATTTAATTCAATTGGGGTCATTAATATCTGCTGTTAACAACGCCTGTTATGCAATGTATTGGTTTTAGTTGAATGATTACATGACAACCATCAGGCTTATTGCAGTTGTAACCTGAGGCCCAGGAATACGTTAAAAATGTTTAAAAAGTTCGCTAGTGTACTGAGTTGTTAATGCGTGGTGTATACATGTATATTATACTAGATTACTTACATGTAGAATAAGACTGAATTTTATAAGCTTAATGGATAAGAATAAGACTTTTTATTAATGACAGTATACAGGTATAGCCGGGCCTCAGGTTGTAACACTTCCCATCAAAATGAGCTCAGATCACAAATTATGTCTCATACGTCAGAGCATGTTCCTGGTGAGAACAGAAAGGTGTTATGCGTATCAGAATGACGATTTCTTGAAGATTTATGCAAACAACTCATTAAATAATCTCAGTACAACCGAGGAACTCAAGTTACAATAATTAGACCTGGACATATCATATTCTGTCCATCATTAGAGTATGACCAGGATCATATGTTCATTAATACGCAGTTTAAGGACATGCAACAGGTCAAATGACGGATAGACAGGTTTTCTTGTAAGAGAAGATATATACAGGGTGGTCCAAAATGGGACACTCGTATTTCAAAAATAGATTTCTTGACGAAAAAATATCATATTGTATACGAGGGGATAAGGAATTCAATTATATTTAGTTTCAAATTGGTATATCAGTTCAAATTTATTATATTACATGTCAATCAGAGTCCATAATACAAAGACGTCATTTCCGTTTCAAAACGGGTTTTAGAAAACTTGCAAAAACAAGTTTTTTTGTCAACAGAAACAGATTTTCAATATGTCCTCCATTTTGATCAATTACAAAACAAAAACAAAAAAATCAAAACTGGTCAATAGCATCATTGATATGCTGTTGAGACAATGAGTTCCACTTCTCAACAAATATGTCCTTAAGGGACTGAATAGAGTTCATGATACACCAATTTCGTTAGTTCTCCCCATAAGTGGTAGTCCATGAACCCCTTACATCTATTCGGTCGAGTATCGATCATACCAGATTATACCAAGATTGAGGAATATATTTGATCGAAATGATGGACATATTGAGCATCTGTTTATGTTGACAAAAAAGAAGATTTTTGCAAGCATTTGAAAATCGTCTTGAAACGAAAATGACATCATTTGTTTTGTAGACGATGGTTGACAAGAATTATAATAGAATTAAACTTATGATATACTAAATTAAAGATAATGAAATTCCACTGATATATAATATGATGTTTTCATTAAATCAATAAAATTAATTCTCATGTTTAAAATACGAGTGTCCCATTTTTGGACCACCCTGTACATTGTACATAATACCATTGATTGAACTTTGCCCATTGGGCGTTCATTTGAATAGATGTACGTAGTTGAAATAAATATATTGAAAAGGTGTATCTTCCGAAGTTTAGTTTTCTTGCAGAAATCGCCTACTCCCCCAATTCCATTTTGTACGATCACTCGGCGTGATATTGTTGTCACATAGACAAAATATTGACGCGCCATATGTGTTTTCCTTAACGCCTTGCGATAATCCTTATTCATTACGAGAATCAAAGCTGGGTTCATTGTTCAGTTAATATAAGTCAACCAGTATGATGTTTCGTAGGCTTCCAATGGGATACAATCTGGACAAAATGCGCTTATGGGCCACAATAAACAGAAAGGCAACCAGCAAACCAAGAAACACACAATAACTATGCCCAACATTTTAGAAATTAGCTTTTCCTGTCGGGCGCGTTTTTGGAGGAACCCTTGGTAGATAGTCTTGTTTGTTTCCAAATTTATGGTAAAATTCCCCGCACTGCACTGCCTTACCGATTGTCTTGCAAAGATCTGTGAGAGGTCGGATCTCATGAGCATATGAACTGATCTACAGTAATAATATACTATGATAATCATAGGCATAAAATAAACGATACACGCTTGAGAGATAACGTATGCGTTGGGTGGTGAAAAATAACAGTCCATCTCGTCAATGTTTCCATCATGTGTGCTCTTTATTCTGAAGTATAATATAGCAGGTAGCCAGACCACAATTCCTATGATCCAAATGGCGGCAATGTGTTTCAACGACTTCTTGTAATTCGTCCTTTTCTCGGCGTGTTATTTCAAAGGGCTGTTGATGGCTTTGAAACGCTGGAAAGCGATGACATCAAGGTGCAACATAGACACGGTGCAACAACAGAAATCAAAAAAGATCCAAATGGTACAGGCGGTACTGCCAAGGGGCCAATAGCCATATATGGTGTAAACATTCATCGCTCCCATGACAACGCATCCGACCAAAATGTCCGCGCCTGATAATGATACAAAGTAAATGTTAGTTACTGTTTGAAGCCTTTTAGTTGTCAATACCGCAGTTGCAACCAAAACATTCATAACAATTGTTAGCAACGAAATAGCTTTTAGGATTCCAAGTATCACTGGCCATATATCCACCATTGTCGAGATTGAATCCTTACACATTAGGAATCAATACTAGTTAATAATTTTGGCGTATATCTACACTGCTACCTGTGCATTGTGTAACCAATGCTCGCAACCCCCGCATCATCTCATCCATTATATTGACGAAATGGCAAATATCACAAAAGGTGTGAATATATTACTAGCTAACTACAGTTTCACATAACATAAACTCATACCATGTCACCCTAAGTGCTTCACATTATAGTCGACGTGTCATTTTCTGAACGTACGATGTTTAATTGCGTAATCAGTCATTGTCATTAGCGAGTCACAGGCCAATGTAAGTTTAACCATATACAAATCCAACTTTTTGAAGTTTTTAAATTCAATAAAGTTGGCGATGATAACCCCCCCCCCCCGTGTTAAACCATAATGTGTACAGGGGATATTTCCCCGGTACTTCTCTGCCAAGAAAAAATATTTTTTATAATCGTAGAAGCTATAGCTACAGATAAAAGACCATTTTGGTGCAAAAATCGAGGTGATCGGGAGTAAAGGGGCTGAGTTAGGATGGTGGGGACTTGGGATTTTTTTCAGAAATCGCTTGAAAATCACACCATCGCTATGGTTGCGGCTATTTTTAGTCATTTTCTCATCTAAATATGCATATAATTAACAAACTTGATATGCATCAAAATATTATACAATTATTTGAAGTATGTAACAAACAAGTGGGTAAGAGTAAATTGTATTCAAGTTTTTAAGAAAAATAATTTTCTGTCATCTTGGGTAGGTTTATTTATTTCAAAATATTTTTCATAAATCAGTAAACATGAAGCCAAAAATGTGATTCTATGTAATATTTTGATTATGTACCAGTGGAAACACATCATGGCATCTATAATTAGAAGCAAAATAAATCATGAAAAAGTCAATGCTGCAACTTCTTGCTCAAATACGCTTAATTTCAACACGCGAGATTGCGTTTCCGCTAGCCGAGATGCACTAAAAACAAATCTTCTCAGCTAATAGTCTAGATGAAAACAAAGGATTTATCCTTCTTTAACCTTGTTTTGGAGTATATACAATGTTTTATTGCATTTTTTGATAGTTAGACATGTCCTGGTCAACAAGCCACAAATATGCAGTTGCGGTAGGTTGAGCATTTTTTCTATTGTCTTTTTAAAATTATGTAATATTTCTGAAAGGGGGCGTGGTACATTTGGTAGTATTCATGTATTTAAATGGAGTTAAATATCTCTTATCAGTTATTTTTGTTTAATTTATGACTTGCACTATATATGAATAGTATATGTACTTGCCACTATTCCATTCATATTTAAATGAATTGGTCATAAAATAGTAGGTTAATCCGGTAGTTGGTAGCTGTTAGTTGCATTCGCGAATGCAAGCTTATATTTTACTCTTACTTCAAAAGGTGGTATTATTAATCTATTGTCACCTGATATAATTGAACCTAAACATATACAAGTATTTCATAACTTCAAAATATTTCCAAAACAATAAACTTTAACATGTAATAATGGGTGCTTATAAAATCTTATATCTTACTTTATTCAACTAAAATTATTTAATGTTGTAATTTACATGATCAAGGAGGGAAATTAGTAATAATATCAAAAATGTTATAAAAACAATGATGCAATTCTTATATAATCTGGAACAATATCCAATCATCACATCTTCACTTATGTCTGAAATTATTTGCAATAACCTATATGTCTTGCTAATTCTGCTATGCGATTATCTTTTAATGTCAATTAAGTTGGCATTTGTTTTTGTCACTAGTTTGTCCATAATGAGCGAAGACTCAGCACGATTAAATATTGATCATAAAAGAGTATACCGTTCATTCATTTCTTTTTTTAATTGTAATATGTAATCCAGTTCATTCTGACACTAATCTTATTTTATTTAAGATTTAAATTTTAAAAATACACTTCATTATAGAATATTGATTCTACAAGATACCCCGTTCCCTCATTGTGAATTCGTATCTCATCAGAAAAAAACTATCATTCAGACTTGAATTAAATGGCTAATTAGTGTTACTGTAATATTCTGAAGAAATGATTTGCTCCTAGACCCCCTGCTCTTGTTATAGATACGAACGGAACTAATACGCTACATATATGAACACAGTAAATGGTAGAATCCTATCTATTCATTTGTTTGCGATAACCTGTGTGGCATTTTGTCTTGTTAATGTTGCAAGACTATCTTTTAATGTAAAGTTGGCATTAATTTTTGTCACTAGTTTGTCCATATGAGCCAAAACTCATTGATCATAAAAGAGTATACCCTTTCTACTTTTCTCATTTATTAAATTGTAATGTAATCCATTCCATTCTGACACTAATCCTATTTTATTTAAGATTTAAATTCTTAAAGTACACTTCATTATGAAATATTGATTCTAAAAGATCACATCGTTGCTTCATATATATATATTGCCATATCCCACAAACTCTCTCCCCCCACTTATAGAATCTTTATTAGTAAGGCTAGGATGTTCAAACTTTCCCCAAAAAGATGTCATTCAATTATCTACTTTTACCATATGGTGTTATAACTTTTACAACTATGATGATTTAAGATTGTGTAATTTTATTCTCAAGACAACACGTTTTATTTATTTTTTATTTATTACCTAAATTCCAAATAATACAAATACAATCCCAACAGTGGAAGACACCCCAAGGGGATATGATCCATTTTATACTAAATAAAAAATATTTACAAGTAGCAAAACTCATACAAGAAATCAGTGCTCATTAGAATTAAAAATTGACACTAAATATTTTACATTCGGTTGGTCCCATCCTCCATCCTCCTCTACCCACGCTACAAAAGTGAATTTTTTACGCCAGAGATTTATCTCCAGAAAAGTTAGACCTGGATTAAGTAATGATGTTAATTGTTGAGTAAGTGTAATTTTAAATTCTTTTTGAAGGTAGAAAGAGTATTAGAATGAGTAATTTTGTGAGGTAAAGTGTTCCACAGGTCTGACCCTGTCTTAGATATATAATATTTTCCCGTGTTTGTTCTGAACGTAATAGATCTATATTTCGAATAAAGTTGACATCTTAGTTAAAAGAGTAACCTTGTTCTTTAAAACATTAAGTTTTGAGCATTCATTTTTTTATCAGATTCAAGGTTCACTTCAAAGTTAATCATGTAAATGTGACATGGAATCACTAAAACCATGTAAAAGCAATATATAAGTTCTTAAAACTAGATTCTTAAAATCCCTACTTATGGAACATTGTAAATCCTGCTGACCTTGCAGAAAAAATTGCTCAAGGTCACATTACTGCATATTTGTCAAATCTTCATCAGAACACATCAGACCAACATATTATGCAATAAAATATTGTATATACTCTAAAACAACCCCCTCTTGGCTTTCATCTAGACTATATGCTTTCATAGAATAAAAATATAAGCTGGTTCTATTTACTTTCTTTTGAATATAGACCATATAGTATAGTGAATGCGCTTTCAGACATCAATATTATATTGTGGTCCGCGACTCGCGTTTGGTCCAAAGAATGATTTTTCAAAAACTAGTGATCATATATCAATTAAATTCATTTTTGAAGGTCCTGGACATGTCTATCAGATGTCTGCAAAACAATATAACCATATCTGGATTAGTTTTGTAGATTTTTTGTCTACTAATCACATTTTTGGCTCCATGTTTACTGATTTATGAAAAATATTTTGAAATAAATAAAGCTACCCGAGATGACCAAGCAGTTCCAAACTTATTAATAACTTAACACAATAAGCCGACACCTCCATCCCGTGTAATGGTGTCAACATATTTGAAAGGAGCTATGGCATCATTTTTAGGAGCCAGTTCAAAAGTTTGTTTCAATGAATTCAAATGATATCTCGAAGCGTTACCTGCCATTTTATTTGTGTCATGCGTTAATATTCTTGCATTTCTGTAAGACCGTGGAACTTTGGACATGATGTCCTTAATAACAATTGCATATGGAATAAGTCCCCTGGGATAACTTTTATGCTGATAGTTGTGCACCGTCATGAGGGTATGTCGTACAACTTGACGGTGAAAATAATAATAAGATTTCATTTGCATATACTGTCCTGATATCCACCAAGAATTTTTGTCATATTGTACCTCTAGCGGCATTAAATGCTCGATAGCCTTATTATGGAGAGCTACAAATATCATATCAAATAGTATCATAGGAACTCGCTCTGGGAGATTCCATTGTTTGGTAGGATTATCCTGTCCACATTCGGAGAAAATAACCGTAGGGCCAGCCCATGTATACATAGGCGCACCAACAGCAGGTTGTGTTTCAATCAGAAAATCTTCAAATTGTCTCAGTATGGAAGTATTTGATTTCAATTTATTTTGCGCATTTTTATTCAAAACCCTTGGTAGTGTCGGTTTCAATATGATATCTTTATCAATAAAAACGTAATACAAATATTTGCCGAGATGTTTCTGCGCATATGTCCAGGCAAGGTTCCTTCCAGATGTCCAAGTTGTATTTGGACCATATATGTACTTAACATGGTCTAACTTCAAGTCTTTACAGGGTGCTTTATAACTCAATACTAGCACGTCCAAGTTCTCTGGATTTCCGAGCGTGTCCGTTTGTACGAGATAGTCGCGTATGCATTGATTAGAATTCACAATATAAAGAAAGTTTTTCACAAAATCATCATCTGCCGTCGATATATGTGCTCTTCTAGGTGACGTATCTGCTGAAATCAAGGCTTTTGTCTCTCTTACTTTAACTGAATACGAATAAAATGACACAGCCATCGTCAGAATCAAGAAAACTGCAACAGGGAAACTGCGCTTCAACATATTCCAAAAATGGAGCATTTTTGTCATTTTTACAAATTGCCCTTTTATGCCTGCGATGAATGTTCCTGCTATCTGTATTATTCATATTCCTGTTTTCCTTATGCATATTTATGTCAAGCTGACAGAGATATTCGATATTCAGCTTTATCTTAATTAGTAGACAGGACGCATTTTCAGCAATCTTAAATGTTGTAGGCATT